CAGCTACTCCTCAGAAAGAAGACTGGGCAATCTACTTCCGTAGTGATTTACCACCTCGGAAACCCAAAGGGGGTCTCAATGACTTGGAATCAACTCGATGGCAGTGAGTTTGGTTTTTTTTTTTTTTTTTTAAACAAGGTGAATAGTAACACCAGAGAGGCAGCACTCTAGAACTAACAAACCCAGGAGATGGAAATGGCAGCATTTGCCCTGGGACAAAGTTCAGAAGGAATGGAGGGAGAGAAGGAGGAGGAAGAGAAATGGTAAACCCAAGGAGGAAATGAGAGGAATACTGCTATATTGTGGGGATGGCAATGAATGTCACAAAACAAAATGTGTATGAGTTGTTGAATGGAAAACCAATATGCTGTATAAACTTTCAATCAAATCACACACACACAAAAAAGAAAGGAATGCCGGTATTCAGAAAGCTATTAAAATCCTGAGTACAATTACTATGATTTTGAAAACATTAACCTCTTAGTTCTCATTGTATCTGTTACTGTGTCAGAGACCAACATTAATTTTAAACTCTCTCTGGATCACATAACCACCAAGGTTAACCATGGCTTTTCTATGTGCTATAAGATCATAAATATCTTATGATTAGAATAACAATGCTACAAAAATCTTTCAATACCCCTTTCAGACAAGGTGACAAAGTTGCCTTTATCTGATTGAGAAAATACATTTCTCCTTCTAATGTCATAGACACTCTGTTGTTTTCTTATGACTGGACAGCTTGGCTAAGGCTCCTTAACTTATTTATCAAAGACTACATAACAATTAGGAGTTCTGGTAGCATAGTGCCTAAGTCACTTGACTGCTAACCAGAAGGCTGGCGGTTCAAACCCACCAGCCACTCCTCGGAAGGAAGATGGGGCAATCTACTTCCATAGTGATATTGCCTCAGAAACCCAAGGAGGGGTCGCAATGAGTTGGGGCCGAAATGAGTTGGGGCCGACTTGAGGGCACATAACAACAACAACAAAGATAACAATTAGGAGCTCTGGTAGCATAGTGCCTAAGGCACTTGACTGCTAACCAGAAGGCTGGCAGTTCAAACCCACCAGCCACTCCTTGGAAGGAAGGTTGAACAATCTACTTCCATAGCGATACTGCCTCAGAAACCCAAGGAGGTGTCACTATGAGTCGGGGCCGACTCGATGGCACACAACAACATCAACAAAATAACAATTAGTGTAATACAAAATTTTGTTCTAGTTGCTATGTGGAACAACCAGAAACTGAATTTATATATGTCTGTAAACAAATAATAAACACAATCAACATACTTACATATTCTATTAAAATATTCTTTCAAGTTTTGAGGTAGAATGTTAAGCAAATGTAATGAATTCCTCAAAGGTCATACATATTATAAGAATTCTTCTAAGGACAAAAACAGTTCACCTGCCACCCTATAAGCAATGTCATTTGGCTTGTCCCTGTCTGTACCTTACAATGCCCTTTTCACAGTGAATCATGAAGTCAAGTCAATCAATACAAAATCATTTTACAAAGTGAACTTTGCAAGTAAAAATCATAGTGTATGTTTTTAGTGCATTGTATTTGACTAAATTCCACTCTCTTGTCTACTTAAACAGAACACAAAACTATTGACCCTTGTAAAAACAACCCCTTCATTTTTTCAGGCTTTTCACTAATAAGAAAACAGGGAGAAATATAAGGCAAAGGATAAACCATTCTTCATAAAAAAAAATCACTTGTCAATTGTTTCAACCTTGTCATACCTCAATATAAGATACGTCCAATTAGCACAACTATGCCCAAGATGTCAAGGTCCCAACCAGAAAATCACACACAATAAGCCTGAGGAAGACACTGCATGGCTCAGTTGCCAAAAGGAAAGCTGGTAGTGGTCAAACCCCCCCAGCAGCTACAGGAGAGAAAGGCCAGGAGACCTGTTCCAATGAAGATTCCAACCTAGAAAACCTTATGGGCAGTTCTACTCCGTCAGTAGGGTCACTATGAGTCAAAATCGACTTGATGGCAACTAACAACAATAAGAGCATCTCTAATAAAGTCCCTCTGGCCAAAGGCACCCCCAAGATCTCACCAAGAACCACGATTGTGACAAAAGTTCAGACCAATTTCTTAACACACTCACTGATACATTACCAACTACCACCATGTGCCTAAAATCTTTACTATCTGGCTCTGTACTTTTAGCAAAAACTGCCAATCCTCGTCCTCACCACCTGTCTTTTAGGCTCATCATTTACAAAGTTGTGGACAGTGATAGCTGAATTAAGGAAACTAGTATGTCTGGAAAAGGAGGATAACAGCAGGCACCCCAAAATAACAACTGCACTTTAATGCAGGCTCTGACACACCAGCATTTTTCAGGAAAAGAATAAGGTCTCACACTTACTAATCCCCCTTTCTTGTCACTCCTCTGTAGGAGGTTTTTGCTCTCTCTCACACACACACACACTCATCTCCCAATACTCTCTACAAGAGGCAAATGTCTCCTGTTACAACCAGCCTCAAAGCATATTCCAGAGCTTGGCTGTTTCGGTGAACAGTCCCACCATTCTCCCTTCAGCTTCTGTCCAATCATTTGTCAAATCTTATTTATTTGACCTACACAATACCTTACAATCCATCCCCTCCACATTCCCACTGCCTAACCCTAACTCCGGTCCCCATTATGTGTCACTGTCTCATTGCAGTAGCCTCACGAGTCATTTCCGGTGTCAACATTTCTAAGTGCCCTATATACAAATGGTAGAAATTTTATTATTTATTAAACAAACACAAATTTATTTTGAAGACTATTAGAATATCCTCCAGTAAGTCCTATACCGCTGAGAGGGCTGTTGGTTATGGGTTTGTTGTTTTGCTTTAACTTGGGGTGGGTTTTATTCCTCCTGAGGCAGAGAGCCAGAGGACTGCTATTTAAATATTCCCTTCTGAAACGGCCTCAAATTCAACATGAGAAAATAGTTAGCGAAATCCCTAATGGTCCACCCAACATACATTTTTCATAAAGTGATTATCCTCCTGCAGCCTCAGCTCTGTAAGCCTCTCCCCCTTCAGTAATTGTTTTCCTTGTAGGCCGGGCAACAATTACCACTGCTACAAGACTGAGGAGGTGCACAAGCAATATATTTTACAATACAGAAGTGAAGCGTCTGATATCTGCTGCTTTTATCACTAATTGCACTATAAAATGCGCTATTAAAACAGGGACAAACAAGATTGTAAAAATCACATAATGGACCATGACCACTTACAAAAGACATTCATAAATGTTACTGTACTACTTATTTTTCTCTAATTTTTCAGACACATAATGATTGTTTCCAAATTTTTTACTTTTAGGAGATACCATCAAGAAAAAGAATATATTTAGAAATTACATAATATATATACTTGCCCTTGAATACACTGTGCCATAATTTTGCTCAAAATTAGAATACACACAGTGTCAGACACTGCTATGAGCACTGAGTTTCTAGGGACATCTATGTGGTCTCTTGAAAGAAATAGGCATGGAAAGTACATGTTAGGTGTGATTCTTCCTCAAAGTTCAGAGCATGTGAATGAAAACATTGAAAAAAGAATTTTTTTAAGCTTTTCACAATTCTAATCTATGAAGCATACAATATAACATACCTAATAAAACATTTACATCTTGGGGAAAGACAGATGATCGAAGGGTGGTATTACGGCAATTCCCAAGGGAATATGAATCAGTGAGTGGAACTGCCATGTCACCAGCACTTGCTAACTCATGGGCTAATTTTCAAGTTCGTAGGTAAGTCTTTCAACCCCTTCGCTATTTACTTACATGTCTAGGCACTAATAGAAGAAAAAAAAGGGAATCAGGAATAAGAGAGAATAAAAATGAAAGTATTTTTGTTACCCCTTAATAATTTTAATGACGACTAAACTAGATGAAACTAGAAATTTAAAGTATTGATTGTGATGAATTATCCAGCTTATCTCTAGGCTTCATTTACTAACCACCGGAGACAAACCAGTTGTAAAAGCATCACAGAACACAAAACACCACAAACCAAAGAGTGACTTTGTTGTTGCTGTTAGCTGCTGTCAAGTCTACTCCGACTCATGGTCCTTGCCTCTATAAAACTAAGGCAGGTAACCAATTAAGGAACTGGGGTTCTATCTGCTCTTCTTTTAGTTGGGTATTCTTCTGTTATAATCTGCTATTACAAGGAGTCTCTGGGTGGTATAAACAGGAAAGCACTCGACTACTAGCCAAAAGGTTGGCAGTTTGAACCCACAAGAGACACCTTGGAGGATAGGCCTGGCCATCTACTTCTGAAAGGTCAGGGTCTTGAAAACCCTATGATGCAATTCTATTCTGTACTTGAGGTCACCATGAATTGGGATCAACTGGATGGCAACTAACAACAACATACCTTCTGTTAAATGAAGAAGTAACTTATGCTTTGATTCTAACTGTAGCTCAGAGTGTGTGAATGAGCTTGAGTTTCACAGAAAAATACCAACACATGTGCAACGCCATCATACAAATCTCAAATATTTTCTTAAATACTGATAATGGCCCAACATTACTAAATTCAGAGTCTAATTTAGAAACAAAGGACAAGTCACATTTACAGACATCTAAACTGTACCTAGATTATTTCTTTCCTTTTTTTTTAAACCAAGGGACATTAGATAGTGCTCAATTTTTCAACAGACTGCCAGAAGGTCAGACAGACAGATTATACGTAAAATGTTTGCTCTAATTTTAGAAACTGAAGTAATTTAATTCAGAAGGAATAATTTTAAAATCTTTTAAATGGTAAGAATAATTTACTTTTTCAAAAAATCAAATACTTGATATACTCTGAAAATATGTTAGATAAATGTAAATAAAACTCAGAAGATTAATTTTCAATAGCGTCATCTCCCAAACATTATTCTCTAAGACATGCCAAAGCTGTTATTAGATGAAGTAAAATGGAGACAACACTCGTCTTGAGTGCACATACGAAACTTACTTTGTCAGATGCCTCAGAAGCCAAGAGGTTAGTTGCAAGGGTTTGTAGTTTGTGATGGGCCATATTTTTAAGAGCAGCAAGACTACGTCTTGTCATAGCTTGTTTTAGGTTGACTGCTGGATGACTAAGTGAATCAACCGCAGCAGGAACTGCTTCATCACAAGCATTCAGAATTTCCACCGCTGTTATCCCCATCACACAACGATCCAGTGCACCTGGAAGACATATATTCATAGACATTCTACAATGATATAAACTTTTAAACAGTTTTTTAAGGAAAGAGAAATGGCCCAGGAAAGAACCACCTGAATGGATTTGAGGGAACAGTGCCCATGTTCACACAGGGCTGTGAATAGTGCCTACTCCCACCAAGAAGAGTGAAAACCAATTCACAGATCAATGGGGAGAGTACTCAGGAAGGTCCTGCCTTAACAGTGGGGAATAATTAGCCCCAGACTTACCACTGCTCCAGTCCCACTGACTGTCTTAAAAACCAGACTCAAAAGGATCAGTTTCAGAGTAACTTAACTATGCCCCGTAACAAAGCTCAAGATGATTTATAGAAATAAATGTCGAACATCCAAAACAAAATCGTTGTGGTTACCTAGTACTGTTCTGACAGGAAATATTCCACAAATGGAATGGCCTTAACAAACAGGAGCTTATTCTTAAAATTTGAAGGCTTTAAGTCCAAGTTCAAAGTGCCAAGCTTTAGGGGTTGGTTGAAAGCTCCTCAGCCTTGGGCTTCAGCTCTGTCTCCTGCTCCCGGCCCACTGAAGCTAGAGGCTTTCTCCACTCAGCTGCTGGCTGCTGAGGCTGCCAAGCCCAAGGTTGACAAGTAAAATGGCACAGCCCCGATGTTACCAAACCACATGGCAGTCCATTAATTCAAGTCCATTGTAAATCCCCAGGTTGGCAGAGCATAGCAGGCTGCTGAACAACAACACGGCTACATGCAGGATTCAAGTGTGCCATAAGCTAGAGACCATTCCCCAAGGCTTCTGCTTATATAGAGGAAGCAGACCACATTCCCTAAGGCAGCTATTCACAGTTGATTCCACCATGGAGTTGATTACCAGTCTCATCATGGGGAATACTAAATCCAGCTGCCCAGCCACTCAACCAGACCCAGCCAAGTTGGCAAACAACTTTAACTACCACAAAAATAAAATTCACAAAGTTTGTTATCCTATAAAAAATTATCAGGCTTGCCAAAAAGTAGGCATAAATACTCTTAATATGCAGAAAGCCAAAGCAATCAAAATGAATCCATAACTGATACGAATGTTAACATTACCAGACAAAGGCATTAAAATTGATCATAATTCCATTCTAGATGCTCAAAATGTTTGAACAGAGACATGGAAGATACAGAGGAAGAATTTTTCTATAAAAAGAATATGCAATGGCTGGGATGAAAAATACATTGGATAGGATTAACAGTAAATTGGATATTATATAATAAAAGATTAGTAAGCTTGAAGACATAGCAAGAGAAACCATATAAAATTAAGCAGACAAAAAAATAATTTTTCAAAATGAAAAGAGCATCCAGTGAGTTGTAGGACAGCTTTAAATGGCCTAACCATCATATAATTGGAATCTCCAAAAGGAAGAAAAAAAGGGAGGACAAAAAATAGCTTTAAATAAATAGTTCAAAGTTTTCCAAATCTGACAAAAATTATAAACTTACTGATCCAAGAAATTCAACCAACTCCAAGCAATTGAAATGTGAAGAAAACTATAACCAAATTATTTAAAACCAATAATAAAGAGAGAATCTTCAGAGCAGCCAGAGAAAACAGATAAATTATAAAGTTGTTGTTGTTGTTATGTGCCGTTGAGTCAGACCCAACTCACAGTGACCCCTCCTTGGGTTTCCGAGGTGGTATCACTATGGAAGTAGATTGCCCAGTCTTCCTTCCGAGGAGTGGCTGGTGGGTTTGAACCTCCAGCCTTCTGGTTAGCAGTCAAGTGCCTTAGGCACTATGCCACCAGAGCTCCTAAATATAATACAGAAGAATAAAGATGACAGAAGATTTCTTATCAGAAATAATGCGAGAAGACATTGAGGTATTGAAAGAAAAAGCAGCTATCAACCTAGAATTCTATACCCAAAGAAGATACCTCTTTAAAATGAAGGTGAAATTATTTTTCGGATATACAAAAGCTGAAGGAATTCATCACCAGCAGACTGGCACGACAAAAATATTAAAAGACGTTCTTTAGGCAAAACGAATGTGATTCCAGATGTATAAATCTGAATCTACCTTACAAATCAATGAAAAGCAAAATAATGGTAACTGCATGAGTAAATATATAAAATTTTGTGCTTATTAATAGCATTCCCTTCAAAGATAAGAGATAGTGTTTTTGTTTTTTTGCATTCATGCCCTCTGAGCTATCTCCTTGTGCCAATACTGCCCTTTTGATCTCCCATGGTTGATTGGTCTAAGGAATGTACCTACCTGGTATAAATGTTCATGTTACACACCTGTCTAATGTTTGACTGGAAGCCATGATGGGAGTGAGTTCAATTTCAGGCCTGAAGGGTGACTAAGGGCCATACTCTTGGGGGTTTCATCAGTCTCTAACAAATCAGTAAGCTTGGCCTTTTTTATGCTTTTCAGTTTTGTTCCACATTTTTCTCCCACTCTATACAGGATCTCCTGCACTGTTCCCTTTCCAAGTGATTGACAGTGGTAGCTGGGCACCATCTAGTTCTTCTGGTCTCATGGTGATGTAGGCTGAGGTTTACTTGGTCTACTAAGTCCTTTGGACTAATTGTTTCCATGTGTCTTTGGTTGTCCATTCCTCCTTGCTCTAGATGAGTAAGACCAATTGTTGTGTCTAGATGGCCACTTGCAAGGTTTTAAGACCCCAGTCACTGGTCTCAAGCCCACAGGTCCAACAACTCACTTCCTCAGTGTGGCAAGCTGTGGCTAAGAAGTTATCATAACTTTGCCCCATTAGTTCTATTTATATGGACATTCTTACAGCATATACAAATACAGATGCAGAAATATCATCCACCAAACTTATATATGGTCATGAATATATTCCTTTTGCCTAGACATACCTGATCATTCAGCCTGTCTACCTATGTATCCACCCATAGATTAATGTTTGTTATTACTGATAATGCAGTACTGTGTATGTAGAAGTGTTTATCTTTGTTGCCTGTACCTCTTGTGTACCTCTCTGTGTCTTTCTTTTCCTTAATGTTACTGTGTTGGTCACTTGCTTTTGGTATATTGCCTTTCCCTTCACCCAAATCAATACTTGTCTCCTACCTATCTAACAATTCTCCCACCCTTCCCTCCCATCCCTGATAACCAACAAAGAAAGATAATAGACTGTTTAAACAAATAAGCAGAAAGAATGAAAATGATGCTCTAAATGAGTGAAAACTATGAGTAACAATACAGATGACCCCAAAGATAAGAAGTGGTAGAGAATGACCCACTTTTTCTTGACTAGAGCATCTGGCTTGTGAAATAAAATTACAACAAGAAAATACAGAAAGGTAGACAGGTACCACACCACAGAGGACATGGTCTTAAAGGTGATATGAACTAAAATTACTTATGTTTTATTTTCTTTTTTAAGACAGTGGTATGTTGCTGTTTTGTTTCCTGAAATTAATTTGCCAGCAAAAGGACAGGATGGATTAGAAGACAAACAGAGTAGACAGGAAAACCAGTAAAGATGATAGCTTAAGTAAGGGAAAACACGGTCCTAAATTAGAATGGTACACTGAAAAGAGAAAAAGAGAAAAAGACTTAGTGAAAAGAAGTTAGTGATTAACTGCACAGAGGGGTGAGGGGTGCCTAGTAAAGACAGTCCTACCTCCACACTACCCATGCCCTCCTCTAAAACCCTAGAGTTGATCATGAAAAGCAGAAAAATATACTCTCTGATTGTTTGCTGTTTCCAAGGTCCTTGTTCATTGTCCAGCTTGCACACACATATGAGGTGATTGAAAATGCCATGGTTTGGGTTAGGCACACCTTAGTCTTCAAGGAGTCTTCTTTGTTCTTCAGCACTTGAAAGAGGTCTTTTGCAGCAGTTCTTCCCAGCACAATATAACGTCTGATGGCCTGACTGCAGCTTCCATTGCTGTTGATTGTGGAACCAAGCAATACAAAATCTTTAACAACTTCAATCTTTTCTCCATTTATTGTGATGCTGCTTATTGGTCCAGTTGTGAGGATTTTCATTTTCTTTATGTTGAGGTATAATCCATACTACATATTGAAGTCTTTAATCTTCATCAATATGTGCTTCAAGTCATCCTCATTTTCTGCAAGCAAAGTTGTGTCATCTGCATATTGCAGGTTGTTAAAGAATCTTCCTCTAATCCTGATGCCACATTCTTCTTCATATAGTCTAGCTTCTTGGATTATTTATTTGTTCAGCATACAGATTGAATAAGTATGGTGAAAGGATACAATGCACTCCCTTCCTGATGTTAAACCATGCAGTATCCCCTTGTTCTGTTTGAATGACAGCCTCCACGTCTATGTACAGATTCCTGATGAGCACAATCAAGTGTTCTGGAACTCCCATTCTTCTCAATGTTATCCATAATTTGTTATGATCCACACAATCTAATCCTTTTGCACAGTCAATAAAACCAAAGTAAACATCCTTCTGGTATTTCTTTCCCTTCAGCCAAGATCCATCTGACATCAGCAATGATATCTCTCATTCTATGTCTTCTTCTGAATCCAGCTTCCATTTCTGGAAGTTCTCTGTCAATATATTGCTGCAAGAATTTTGAATTATCTTCAGCAAGATTTTACTTATGTGTGATATTAATGACATTATTCAATAATTTCCACATTCTGTGGGATCACCTTTCTTTGGAATGGGTATAAATATGCATCTTTTCCAGTCAGTTGGTCAGGTAGTTGTCTTCCAAATTTCTTGGCACAGCCAAGTGAGTGCCTCCAGCACGGCATCCATTTGTTGAAACATTTCAATGGGTATTCCATCAATTTCTGGAGCCTTGTTCTTTGCCAATTCCTTCAAGGCACCTTTGACCTCTTCCTTCAGTATCATTGGTTCTTGATCATATGCCACCTCCTGAAATGGATGAATAAGGCCCGGAGCTGACTGTGGAACAGATCATCAGTTGCTTATGTGCAAGTTCAAGTTGAAGCTGAAGACAATTAAAACAAGTCTATGAGAGCCAAAATATGACCTTGATTAT